TTGATGGGCTGATAATGATGTATGGCGCACTGTCTTCTCTTTGATCATTACCATCACTGACAGTGTTGCTGCTGCTCTCATGGTTGCTCAATATCTCATGTGCATGGTGATATATACGTGCAAAAGGGTTACATTGAGCAAGCATGACCGAAAGCTTCCTAATAATCTCAGGATCAAGGTTGCTGTTTTGTGCTTGTCTTCTTTTAGTGGCATAGGAAGGATCACATATATATAGCTGGGCGTAGGAAGGCTCATTGCCTTCAGTTGAAGTCAAGGGGCCTTGACGGTGGCAAAGTGCGCCATGGATCTGGAAGGCGTTTAATCCACCTCTATTGTTATTGTTGTTGCTGTTGTTGCTGGCACGATCTTCAGGCGAAACAATATCGCAACCCAACGAAGTAAAGGCAAAAGCAGTGCTGTACTGGAGAAGGTTGTCCTTAAAGTGACGACCTTGAGTGTCCGTACATAATAGTGTGTTATGTGTTATGTGTTATTCTTGTCACTTTTTATTTATTGGAAATAATGCAAAAATATACAAATGTATGTCTCTTTTAACCAAATGTTTGACTGATTCTTCCTCCACGCCTGGCTCTACTAAGACGCCATTCGTTGGGCTTTTCATATCGATTATAGAGTGGCTAAAATAAAAAAGTATGAGAAATGTAGGATAAACAAAGATTGTCTACTTACTTCAATCTTTTCTTGCTTTTTACGTTTAGAAATCTTATTTGCATCTGCAATCTTGAAGAAAGTGGGCGCTGCTTCGGTTAACCATTTTGGATCAATAGCAGTGACTTCACGCATATATTCTTTAGAGGTAAACACAATTTCATGATAAATTACCCTATGTTTTATATTAGTACTGCATGATTGCTATTATATCTTGTGTACATACCATTCGGGACCCTTATTAAATAATGCACTTGAGGGATGGATATAAACAGGTGTCCCTTCAAGCAATGTCTTGTATCCTTCCTGAGGGTCCTTTTTAGCAGCGTTTCTAAAGTATCCTGATACTAATGCTTTGCACACCTTTGTGTAATTACGACCACAGGACACAATATCATGACGATATCTATTATATAAATGTGAATGATATTCATTAACAAAAAAAAAAAATTTAAACTTACCTATCCATAATACCAAGCAGCTGCTTTCTCACATCTTGTGCACGCTTCATACTACGTTGCTGAATGTAATTCTCATAGCACCATGGAGTAGAAAACTTGCTATTCTTCCAACCATTGTAAACTGTTAACAATGTTAAATGATCACCTTCTGGTTGATGGAATTTAGCCTTCTTTTGATCTGCCTGAGCTTGCTTCTCTTTGGGTCTATAAAACACATTTTGAGCAGTCAACATGGCAACAATGGTCAAAATTTCTTCGGAACAGCCCAAGTCAACAGACTGAATAAGCATCTTTGACAATTGGGGTTCCAGAGGGAACTCTGCCATTTTACGACCAAGACGTGTCAAGAGACCTTCATCATCTAACGCTTGAAGAGCATAAAGTTGTTCAAGTGCTTGGATTAAATTGTTTTCTGGTGGAGGATCCATAAAATCGAAGTGAAGTAGATCATTAATTCCCATTGCCTTGAGAGTAAGCACGGTCATAGACAAGTTGAGCAGTTGAATTTCAGGAATCGTATTGGGTAGCATTTCATTACGATAAGCAGTCTCTGTGTAAAGTCTGTAGCATTTGCCTGGACCAGTACGTCCAGCACGACCAGCACGTTGTCTAGCAGCTGCCTGTGAAATAGGAACCACTACCAATGAATCCATGCCAAGTTTGGCGTCCCATTTGTTTTGCTTAACAAAGCCAGGATCAATGACATAATAGATACCATCAATAGTGATTGAGGTTTCAGCAATGTTGGTCGCAATCACTACTTTACGACTTCCAGGAGGCGCTGGGTCAAAGATACGGGATTGCATTTCGGATGGCAAAGCACTATAGACTGGGAGGATAATCAATTCTGGGACGTCGTTGCCTAGCGCTTTCATACGCTCATATAGGATTTCTGCTGCAGTATCGATTTCTTCCTGACCTGTCAAGAATAAAAGAATATCTCCTGGTGGCTCTGAAAGATGAATCTGCATGACAGTAATAAGTGCAGCGTCCAAGTAGTCTGATTCAGGATCTTTTGTATATAAAACTTCTACTGGGTAAGTACGGCCAGGAATAGTAAAAATAGGACAGTTGTTGAAGTAGGTAGCAAATTTGTCAGCATCTAATGTTGCAGAGGTAATAATAAGCTTTAAATCAGGTCTCCTCTTTGCCGCTCCTATAATGAAGAGCTGTTAGCTTATATACTATAATACATCTAGTGTTTCATACTCTTTAGTAAACCAAAAAGTACATCTGTCGATATTGTTCTTTCGTGTGCTTCATCAAGGATAATTACAGAGTATTGCGACATCATAGGATCAATCAAGCACTCTCTGAGCAACATACCGTCTGTCATGTATTTGATACGCGTTTCTGGGCTTGTGCAGTCTTCAAAACGAATAGTGTATCCTACTTCCTGCCCTACACGACAGCCCACTTCTTCTGCTACACGTTTAGCTACTGACATGGCTGCTACACGACGAGGCTGTGTACAGCCGATACGCCCGTTATTAGCAAATCCTTCTTCAGCCAAATACTGTGTCATTTGTGTCGTTTTTCCAGAACCTGTGTCTCCTACGACGACTAACATTTGATTCTATATAAATAACTATTAGCTTTTCCCCCTTTCAATTTCCCATTTGCACTACGCTTTACCTCTCGTACGGCATTGATAAGATCTGTACGAAGCTTAAACACTGGAAGAGATTCTCTTTGCTCCTGGATTGACAAGTTGGTGACTCTACCAAAGCTAGTTGCACTATTGAATGTCGCTTTTTTCCATTCAGAAATACGTTCTGGTCTTCCAGTACCTTTGGCGTCCTGAGCAAACTGTCTTCCGGCAGGTCCAGCCATAGGATCAAGCCAAGGAGTCGTAACATCTTGAGGCACAGCATCGACTTCTTGCTGCTGCTGCTGCTGTCTCAATTCTCTTCGTTCTTTTGCCAATGAAGCTCCTGCCAAGGCTGAACGGTTCAAGGTACCATCAGGAATCTTGACAACTTTAACAGGACTTAAATCTAATGATCGCTTTGTTTGGCCTCTCAAGAAAGGAGGTTCTTCCTCACGCACTTCCACATCAATCTCTTCTTCTGGCTCGATACTTCCATTAAAATCAAGGTCTTCATTTAATTCTGGATAATCTGCTGGATCTACAACGCCAGATGCAATAAGCTGCTTTAATTCCCAGCGTTCTGGAGATGACATTCTCTTGATAGATCTAGAAGGCACATCCTCTACCATGATACCTCCTCTTGCATGACTTGGTGCCTGCAACGAAGAAGGACGGTCTGGATTACGTGTTCTCTCGGCTTCTCTAGATCTTCTTCTGCTATCTCTACGACTAGGTGATCGAGAACGTGATCTGTAGCGTCGACCTGGACTTGATCTTCGAGATGAACGGTGATGTTTTCTCTGGTATCTATCATTTGGTGATGGACTTCTCTCATGTCGACGTTTGCTTGAAGAGTTAATTCCCTGCAACTGTGCCATCATATCGTCAGCCACTTCCATATCCTCTTCTCTCTTTTTTTGCCATTCTGGATCGTCTTGAACAGCTAAGCCGGGGAATGTCTTTGCTTTTTCGTCTGCGCTGGCTTCGGTCGTATTGACCCTTTTGTTTTTAGGTTTCATCGTTTTGATGATTCTGTCCAAATTTTCAATAAAGGATTCGGGAAAGTCAGCATCAGCATCTTTAAGCGATTGTTTAAAGGTTGAAAGAGAGCCGTTAGATTGATCGTGCAAATGAATGATGAATTCAGCTATTGTGAAAATAAGTAAAATAAGGATAATAAAGCAATAAACAACTTTCATACCCAAGACTTTTTCATGTAATCCTGTGTGATTGTAGAGTTCACTAACAACTTTTTGTACAAGTGATAAATGCTCTAATTGTTCTAATTCCTCCATTGCTTAAGAAAAGAAGAAAAAAACGTATAAACTGGGGAAGTTTTATATTGCGGACTTTTATTTTTGACGTTAGCTGCGAGAAAAAAAAGGTTCAATCAGATGCAAGCAATCACAGTTGGAAATAATGAAGATATCAACAATAGTTGCTTAGAATTTACATGAATTAAGCGAATGAATATATCGAATGTATGTAATCTGTAGATCATATTTTGAGGAAAAGATATTGTACTAGTCAAAAACTTTACTATTATTGCTAACGCGCCACATTTACTCAGTAACTCCAAACATAATAAACTTGATTTTATATATAATCACATCCTTTTAATAGGTTGCCACTTTTTATTTGATAAAAGGATACATATGCTTTTAATCATCTTCATGGCAGCAAGTCCAACAGTTTCCATTAAGAGTAGGTGTCCAGTGTTCAGGACAATAGAATATTCTAGGATTGCAAACTCCCAAGCAGACAGTAGTTTTACTGTCGAGAGTTCCGACATCAGAGGAATCACCAGAGGCAGTATCCCTTATGTGAGCACCTTCAATAGTAGACTTGATCATAAGAGAGCCAAGGGCAAAGAGAACAGCAGATAAGACTTTCATTTTTTACTTGATATTTGATAAACAGTAAAGTAATGAATAGTGATAGAAAATACCATGCCCCTATTTATATTCAAAAGGATGTAGCATGTCTCAGTTTTCAATTAAGTAAGCAAGTACCTTTTGCCATAACCTTGCAGAAGTTCTCTATACATAACGTTATACGATCCAATCAGAGACACTGTAGAACGCCACTATAGCCTTAAGAATTGCCGTGGTTGCAGTAATCACAAGCAGAAAAGGACAGCTGACAAAAGGAAAATGGACGGGTTAGAAATATCTTGCAGCTAAATTATGCGAACCCAACGATTGTTGGTAACGGAGGCATAGGGTTACATGTTGCCTAATTTGTTTAGTATCATAAATTGTAAAGAAAACAATATAATTATCAGTAAAAATTAATCAAAAGAAGTTCTTCTAGTTTATTGAATTCTTTGTCATACCTTTATGAGCTTATGAAACGTCGTCTTGACTTTCTTTTGAATGGATTGTCGGGATAGTTAAAGTGTGCAATGGAAGTTATCAAAGATGAGGATAAACATATTACTAACCGACATACAAGCCGTGGAAAAGCATAGTAGTTTAATAGATATTTACCATAAGTGGAATGATAGACAACTTGATAGATAGACAGATGGACTTGGCATACATATTGTATATATCTGATATAGCTTTATATCTCAATCTCATTACTTTCATCTTTTATTTCATTCTCGTTATGTCGCCCAATTGCAATATCATCATGATCATTTTAAAGAATATATTCGGCGCTCTCAATGGTATTTTTCAAAGTAAAATTAGATGGTAGAAATTCTTCTTCAGTTCTCCACTCGTGCCACCTATCAGCAGCTCAATGCTGGTGTTATTCTCGGCAAAAGAGAACTGCAACTCGATCATTCTTTCACGTTTGATGACATAAATCACAAGGTACTTACGCTTCCCCACTGGCTCTTGGCTATCTACTCTTTTCTCAAATAGCAAAAAGTCTTGTAAACAAAGTTCATTTTCTTGCTGTCTGTTTAAAACCTTACCAGAGCAGCATTTTTTTATGCTTTGACAATGTCCAGCGTCTCAGTAGAATAAACTCTAGTGTCTTCAGCTGACCCTCACAAATGACCTATATGTCGTTCAGACCCTTCCTCTGTCTCACATGGATCCAACGTATAGCCTTTCCTAGTCTGCGTCAATATTTCTGTACAGTGAAACACCTGTTTTGTAATAACATCGCGGATATATACATATTCGGAAATAGCAAGTGTTAAATGTCAATTCCGTTTATGGAACTAAATTCAACGATAATGAACTTTGTTAAACAATATTATCAATCAGTGACCCATACTTACTATTACAACAGTGTTGGCTTTAGGCAATATTAAGTAAACATCAAAAGCATTGGTTGGTATCTTGATTTCAGCTACTTCGGAAACTTCACAGTACATGCTTTGATTATTTTCAAACTCTTTTCTCTGAAAATAATTACTCATCAGCACATCATTGAAAAAAAAAAACCTCATTGAGAATCGTGTTCCAATATGAAAGAGACAAATGTTTTCTGTTTGTAAACTGTTTATGTTTTAACTATGAAAGGTGTTACAAGTTGTTTACTTTACTGGCTACGCAGCATTCGTTAAGTAGTTTTTCACTGTTCCTTCGATGAGCAAGTTGTTTGCACACGTTCATATTGTAGCATGCATGATCTTCGGGTAACCTGTGCCTACTGCAATACTTTGCTTGACAGTAATTGCAGTCTCCAATAATTTTAACATAGGCACTTGTACATAGTTCTAAAGAGCATCGCACTAGAAAAAAAGTGTAATTTTATAACCAGAAAGAGATTAGAAGAAAAAAAGTATAGATTGTTTTTATTAGAGTAGTTAACCTTTTGTAATATGTTGATACTTCCTCTTCTTTCCGTTACTCTTTTCATCTTCGGAGTCGTCAAGAGTCTTGCGACAGACTTGCCGACTAAAGAACTTTCTGGTCTTCTCAGTATTATCGTCTACATCTGTCAATGTGATCGTGTCGTTTTCCAAGTTGAGAATCAAGAATGAACCTTTACCATTATTTAGAGGATTAGGGTAAGAGGAACCGCCTTTGAGAGGAGTAGCCATTTGTAAGGTAGATCCAATGCGTATGTCATAATCGCGCAAGTTATATCTATTCTTGAGCATTCTTCCGTGGAAAGAAAGTGAATAATCGGGATCGGATATATTTAATTTTTCATTGATCTTTTGCTTGATAGTATCAATGCTTTCAAATGATTCAACGTTCAATATAATGACTGATCTAAATACTGTGGTAACAAAAATTTGCATTTTATAGTAGTGAATAATGTTGATTTATATATAAAAAAAGAAGAAAAAAAGAAGAGTATAGGAAAATACATGAGGTTTTGGATAATTTATGCCCTTGTTTTCCTCGCTTAATTACCTAGCTTTTATTGTCATTTCTTGGTTGTTATTATCACAAGTGTGCAATTGCATCTATACCTGTATACATGCTTACTGTCAAGCTTTGTGGCTGTCTAACAGCTAACTACTATACATAACACAATCAATGAAACGACTTTATATGACAATTGATGCAGCCTTAAGTGAGCCACGTTAGTTCCAGTTTTGACTAACTGCTTCTAATTTTCCGATTAGCTATTACTTCTTCAAAGCATTAAGCCTACGCTATTTGATGTGTAAGTAGATTATCCTATCTAATCAATGCAAGGTTATGCTGCAGCATATGACTGCATAAAAAAAGATTTGACAGGCTCTAACCAAGAAATAAATCTTGGTTTAACTTGTTTTGCTCAACGGTGCATCCAGTAACAGTTTAAACTTGAGCCGATCAATCAGTTTATAATAATACATTTAGTCTAAATAGCAATTGAAATCTCCCTGCCTATAAAATGTTGTTAGATGATTTCCCCTTTGCAGCTTTTCAACTCCTCTTTTTCTTTTGCATATTTTGAATATAATAGATTATATATTGGATTTTCTCTAGGTTCGGCCTGGGATGTTTACATCGCTTCTCCTTGACATGAATGTACAATAAAAATAATCGATTTGAAAAAATTTATATTTGAAGAGCTACGCGCATAACGCAAAATCTAAGGGCGCCGTCAAGTGACATATATATATGAGAATCAATGGTTGTCTGTATAAGACTTTTTTTATACAGAAAGATCCTAAACACACGTGTGAAAGAGAGTACAGCAAGCATCTCCAAGACAACACATGATGCGTTGTATTATACAACTACAAATGATGATATGCAAAGGCTTGTACTAAATTCTGTAATGTAAACACATCGTCATAAGGATGCTAAATAAGAACTTTACTGAAAATGTCAATGATGGATGATAAACCATTTAACCCTACGTAAAGACAATCACTATTAGTATGGCAAAAACAGTATGAGTAAATTGAGAAGAAAAAAGGAGTAAAAAGGAAAAAAGAGATATATATGCAGCCCTTATTTTTCCTTTTGGCTAAGCTTATACAAATGTATTATATATGCATATATAAACATGCATGTAGCAAGCTCCAAGGTAAATGCTTCCCTTTTTTTGCGAGATGCTAATAATCAATAAGAACTCGTAAATATATGAGTAAATCAGCTTTTTATTGAGTTACATAAAGTCTTGAATGAGCATATATCTGTATGTGTTATGTATAGATTCTTGCCCACAAAGTTCAATGCTGAGGAGCAAGAGAGAAAAGAAACGAGTGTACCTTCTTTTTTTTTACAGGTTGTTCTATAAAAGGTGAAATCTTCGGTCCGTAATGTCCGTCTCTTTCACTCAAGACCAGTTTTCTGACCTTGACCATTGATAACAGAATCGAAATCAAGGGTATCAAAACCAGCTTCGTCATGGCGAATGCATACAAGAAAGTTTGCTTCAAGCAGCTGATCTCCAATCTCTTGATCTGTTTGCTGCGAAAGTAAGCGTGGCCAAAGATGAAAGGATTCTTTTAAAAATGTCATGGTATTATTGATTCTATCTATAACACACTAGATGTCACTGTTTAGTATCACCCTTAGGCTATAGTGATAGGAGTACCTTTTCTAGGCATAGCTTGTCAAATAGAGGCAAACTGATTGATTTATATGGATTATGAAGGTTTAGACAGTATTCAGAGAAATGAACTCTACTTTGATTCTTCAAGACGTTAGCAAAAACGAACCTCATTCAGCGACTAGCTTACACTCTCGATCTTGAAGGTGATTGATTCTAATGTTTGAGTCCAAATGATAGTCGAGGGTATATCATCCTTGTGGGTATAGTCATAATGAAGCGAACAATTTGAAGATTTGATGAGCATAATATAACGAATAAATGAGACAAGAGAAAGTGTCTCAATTCAAGGCACACATCCGTATTTATACAGATGCTTCGGCCCGTTGTGGGATGAATGGAGATGTCGAACCAAATATAGAAAGTGATACTAAAATCAATTTGAACAATATGTCATCGGATATAGGTCATGTATATGGATATCCGGAAAAGATTATGGCATCTACTGTCCCGTGAAGCGGATTTTCGAAATTCAGTATCAATAAGCATGGCCCATTTTTTCTAAAAAATCTTTTTGCCTCCAAAAAAGGCAATATCATTACCTCGATCGCTGTCAAAGAAATCATGAGCCCCGATTCTTTGCGAAAATGTGAGAACATCAGTAAAGAAGTATAATTTGCCTCTAACGCTTCTGCGGCTTCTGATATATCATCATACGGTAATTCACAATCTATTCAATTTATGAATTACAGTGAGAAACCTTTCTTGAAAGGATATGCTCCTAGCTCCTTATTGATCGACATCACCAACTGCTACCGATCGTTTATTTTTTCGGGCTTTGCTATTTGCACACCTACACGGCACTATGTACAACACTGAATATAAGAGAAGTATATGTCGGTGAGTCTGTGATAACCTCTTTATTAAAATTATGACGAGAGAAGGCTCATTATTACAGGATTATTACATGAATTAACCATGGCCAATTAGAATTAAGTATGACGCGTCTATAAGAATAACCTATTTTGCTGTCAGTCTTTTTTGTTGATCTTTCTCAAGTAATTTTTTACAACAAGATGAAGTATTTATAAGATAACTACAGCAGGTGTGCTGTACAAATAGCAAATTTTCCAAAACTGTAACGCGTTTTGCTAATGATAAACAAGCATATTGGATTTATCTGTGATGTTTATCTAATAAGAGCAAAAAAAAAAAAAGTTTCAACAATTTTTCTACAAGACATTCTGATATCATTGCCATGAAGCAGTAAATATCAGAGGTAATTACACATCTAATAGTCCAAATCGATCACCTTCCTCGTGCCACTTAATATATTTTTTAGTCTCTCAAGAAGAACAACTGAGTAAGCTACATACTTAGAGTAGAATGTTCTAACTAACGTTCAATTAAATTATCATTGTTATCTTTTACAAGGTGTGGGATAAACACTAAAACCTCCTTTGGAAGCAAGGGTAAAAATATTGAGGCAGCTGTTTATGAGGAATTGAAATGCTAACACTGGTGGGAAGAGTGTAACAATTTACGCCCCAGTAGAGTAGGAGAAGGAGGAATTTTCTGAGCATGATATAGGTTGTTGAACTCGTGTAGGATGGTGCATACTATGGCCAATGATTGTGTCAGTAGAATAAGGTTTGTGAGGATCATACCTGATAAATGAGAAGCTTGTTCAAGAGGAAGAGTATAGGGTCCGTTATGGAATCAGGTAGGTCTAAGCGACGCTACATTTGGAGACATTGAATGACATGTTTGGTAAAGGAACTGGGAAATGCGTCGTGGATAGGTAGCCAAGACGCCAACGCACATATCAACTTCTTTCTAATGTTGTCATTGGTAGTCGTGTATCTAATTAGGCATCAAGGGATTATGCAATGCTAATATCACAAAATATAATAGGAAGGGTAAACCATGGCATGTTATAGAAGCCTTAATCAATTTCGATGAGTATCTGCATGTAAATTACTGGCTTGACTCGATCGACTGTCTTCAAACAATATAGTCAACGCGTAGAACAGAACTTTGGTTGTATACTCAGAAACAGCAGGAGACATGATATTCTTGACTTTAGATCTGAATCGCCAGAGATGTTCAAACCAATTATGCTATATCTATGTCAAGCTAACATGAAGCATTAGTATTTGATTCCATTCCACTATATAAGCATGTATGCATTAAATTGATGTTTAAAAACAATGGTGTTTTGTATAAGTAAAATGGGAGGCAGTTGCCAAAAAGAAAGATGTATAGAGTAGCTTTTTATTATAGTCTCCATGAACAAAAAAAGGAATGAATGTTTACTACACTGTGATCATTTGTATTTTAAAAACTGGGAATTTAGAATTTCTAAAGTCAAAGAGAGTTAGCATTGATCTCGATTTATGATTATCTCTTCTTACCCAATCGTCAGGTATCTTTTGTGCCCATCTGAATTTCTCAATCAATGTCTTGCTAAACACCTTTTCTAAAGGAATATTATACTTTCTACACCATGCAACAGATATACGTGGATCAATGTAGTTTAGCTTGGAAGTATTTAGCGCAATCTGTTTGTTCTCTTCTTTATCTGTCGCTTGGACCTTGGTAGCTGCAATACGCTCATCAATTTTTTCAATCCTAACGATCAATTTGTCGGCTGTCATCAAACTCTTGGGTTCAATCGTGGCTGCTTTGCGTTCTTTTGCAAACGTGTCTAGGAGGGCATCAGCCGCCTTCAAGCTTTTTGTCAATTCTGACTCTTCCAACTCTGGCTCTCCTTTTGCAGCTAATTTTTCATTTTGCTTTTGGAAACGCGACTTGATTCTCTCTTTTTCCTTTTTCACTAAATCTGCCTCATGTTGTATCATCCATTCTTCTTCTAAATCTGATTCGGGATCGGCATATTTTGGATTTTTCTTCATCTTGGGATCCGCAGCATAAAGTGTCTTTCGGAGCTTCATTCTTTGGTACTTTAATGCACGGATGCGATCCTCGATTTTGGAAATTTGTTGTTCATGATTCTTGGAGGCCGTCCTCTGGTGATTACACAAGACGGCTACTTCACGATTTGCGCGGTTATAAGATAGTAACTTGTCATGAATACTGTCGTCAGGATTTGTCATTTTGTCTAATTGTTGTTGAAAAGTAATGGAGGCATTATAAGTACGGAACACTTTGGCAGATAAACCCTTCATGTAGTTGTTCAAGTGTTTGTTTAATCCATTTGGCTATATTATTCATCTTAACACACGTTATATTTTATGAAAAAAAAAAGAGACTTACTGTCAAGCGATCAAAAATCATGTGTCCAGGCCCAACCTGCTTTTTGAAGAGCTTGATGTTCTTGAATACTTGAGCATCAACTTCGACGGTATTTTGATATCGAATAGAATCTTTACCCAGGAAATCAAAATGAAGGGTGTTTGGTGGTTCCAATTCAATGTGTTCATAACGAAGTGAGCAACAGCCAACTGTATCTGCTTCGTCCTCGCCCTTTTCATTACCAGCTCTTAAAGCTAATCTGTCAATTAAATACATGGCTGTGGCTCTTTGTCGGATTTCACTGACTTTGTCCTTTAATTCCTTGGTGTAGTTCTCACGAATAGCAGCCACGCAATTCTTAAACCTGGTTAATACAAGAAAGACAACCTGTACTTCACACACATACCTTGAGCTCTCTAGCCTTTTCAAACTTTTTCATATCGCTCTGCCCTTTCCAAGCAGAAGTAGCAGCCAAAAAGACATACTTGATATTACCATTTACGTTTTCTTTCCAAGTGGCTAGCCAGGTAGCTGTTTGATCATGCACGATACCACCCCACTTGTGGCCTTTGGGAGGTTCAGGTATTTTGGCACCCTTTCCCAAATTCAACGTCACTTGCTCAGGTTGAACACGCATCTTCAATTTGCCAGTCTTTGGATGATTGCCTCTACCACGGAATAACTCTGGCGGTTCAATTTTGAAATTACCAACTTTTTCTCTACGTCCATCAACGATAGCCGTCTGATAAGGTTCTTCTATTTTTTTCTTTTCCTCTTTGAGTCTCTATTGAATGCAAGATGACGTATGAATGTTAAATGTTTACATTCTACCTCTGTCGATCATTACCTGCTTTTCTTCCTTGGACATTTGCTTCTTGGCTTCTTTGTCCCGTTGAAGTTTTTCCCAAATGGGTCTGAAGTCACACTTGTTAAAATCTGTGATTTTTGGGTTCTAGAAGGATGTAAAAAAATCAGGATCCGATGACATAAAAAAACAAATAAAAGAATTATACACTTACGCTTGGATCTTTTTGAAGAACTTCCAACCAGTCATTAAAGAAATTTTTTTGAAACACAGGGTTCTGAGCGTGTTCACTTTCCAATATGTTTGCGAAAAAGGTAGCTACTTCTTCAGCTTCAGGACTAAGCGCAATTGGTTTTCCGTCATACTTCATTTTTACACCATGAGGAACATAATCAGGAGGAAACATGACGCCGTTATGCTCAAGGGTAGTCCATTTGATAGAATCATCCTCTTGAATACCACTTTGGTCTTGTTCTTCCCACCATTTATAGATATCCTCTTCTTCTTCTTCTTCCTTTTTCGCCTTTTTCTTTGCCTTTGTATTTTTAGTACTTGTACTTGCTGATTTTTCTAAGGGTCTTTTCTTCGATGGTATATCAATCTCCATTGGTTCTGGCTTAACTTTTTCTTCCTTGGTCTATATGCGTAATAAATCAGAATTAAAAGTGGAACAAAATATTAATATTATTCCTTACTGATATACCATGATCACCATTTATTTCTTTCTTTACAGGCGAAAGTTTACCATTGGCTTTCTTTTGAAGTCGTTGAGAAAGAGGTATATCGTCCTCATCATCGCTGTCCTCTGTCTTTATAGGTGATTTTTTCATTCTTTGAGCCAAAGGAATATCATCCTCGTCATCGCTATCCTCTGCATTTGCAGGAGATCCCTTCAAGCTACTCTCACCGTTCATTTGTTCATCCTTTTCAACGCGTGGTTCAGAAAGAGAAGGATTCGATTGATTTTCCACTACAATGTGTTACAATCAAGCATTCCCCTGATTAAAAAACACATTGCTTTACCTTTTACTCTTTGAGCAAGGGGAATTTCATCATCGCTCAATACAGCGCTCATAATTGATTTAATAAAGGAGAAAAAAAAAGACTTTGTAATTTTTTAAAATTTGGTTTTATATATAAAACAGCCGAAGAGCAATTTAAAACTCCCTTGTTTGACTTGCTTTTTTTTTTGAATGGAAATAAAAGACGAACTCTCATTGGATAATTATGAAATATGATTAGAATAACAAAAGGTGAACCTTTTTAAAAAAAGACATGATGTAGCCTATTGAATATATTAAAGTTGAGCATTGGGTTATATGAACAAGAAAGAAAGAAAGGGGGGGAGGACTTGTGAAGCAATATATGTTCATGTTTAACATTTTGATTTTACGCATCAAAATAAAACAAATTATATCCCCGATGGTTATTTTTGTGTAGCCAATAAAAATTCATTTGATATTTTTAAACATTATTCAACGTAGCAGAGTCATAAAGTGTTGGCTCTAATTCTAATCAGTTATCAAGAAAACTCATACAGCGTTTTTTATTCATTCTTGGCTGTATTTCTTTGTTACATTTGGTAGTTTATCTTGGTAGCTTCTCTTTAATTCAGTTGCACTTTGGACCAAAATAACTCTATTAGACTCAGAAAAGGAAAGTATGGAAGGAGAAGACTTGTAACAGTGGTCTTTTTACCATATTCTTAAAGTGTTAAACTTGAGATTAAGACGATTTAGACAATATTTAAACAATTTATATTGAGACAATTTAATCACTCTTGCGAGCGAAAACCGTGCTTAATACGACCATAAAAGTGTGAAAGGTAGCATACCGAAATAGTGTCTTCATCCATATTCTGTTAGTTGAAGAGATATACAACGCCCATAACAACAGAGAGAAGCCAGTTTATAATGTCTCACTCTGAGATAACATGAAGCTTTTTGGCTTTTTTTTTATGTTGCCCTCGGATGATCGTTTGATTTGCTCACTTTTAATAAGGTCATCAAAAGCCAGTTTTATTTTTGCAACCTTCAAAGAAACTAAGGAAGACATATTTCTTTATGATGGTACTACTCTGTTTGTCAGGTTATCATCTATCTTAAACGCATAACATTTAATGCTGGACTTCATCTTAGACCAGAACTCCTCAATAAGATTAAGAAATGGTGAATATGGTGGTACAAACATATATGTCCTCTACCCTCAATAAGTTCCTTTACAGATGCCGGTGAATAGATATGCGCATTACCCATAGATAGTAGCTCTTCATTAATTTCCTCTGATACTTGCTGAAACTGTATTTCTTTGCACACTATTTCCAGAAAGAGATGTAGCGCTGGCTTGTCGCTTTTTTGTATAAATTGTATTATAAAAAATGCAAAAATGCGACTTTACTTTCTGAAAGACTGTATCTTTGATCGTAATTGCTGGTGGTCCTCTGCCTAGTTTGGGTTTTTGTTGGTTTCTTTCTTTGCGACATCCCGTTATTGACCAAATTAATAAATTCTATACAATTTAGTCATCAATATAGACTCTGCATGTATTCCTTTTTAGGCTTTTAAGAAGAGGATATGAGAGAGGTTACCAAGGATCACTTTCAGAGGATGAGCGTTACAGCCCTTTTCCCAATACTGGGGACAGAAAATTTCAATCATTCAAGCAAAAAAAAGTGCAGCCTTAGTACTTCAGAGTGTCAAGCTCTGATATAAAGATGTCTTTGTGCTCTCTCTTCATGCTTAAAGGGTCCGTTTTTTTAAAGTTGATGAAAAAATGAAGGTAAGCAAACGGATGAGCCAATCAATTTCAGTAAACTGAGCTACTTCGAAAAATCAATCACTATTGAATCTTAGTTCTTGGATCGGCCCGTGATTCACCTTGTCCACGAGTAAATTCTGCCAAGCGCCCTACTATATAAGATAAATCAGACTTTCCTGCCCAGTCGATCATTGACTGGTATATTTCACTCTATGTATTCTCCATCAGAATTGTCCATCAAGTACTCCTGGCCGAGTGGTCAAGCCGTTGAAAACAACAAAGTCAGTTTCTGAGTACTGACAGCGTCTCGAAGAGTGCTTCGAAACTTAAAGACTCTGCTGGCTAGGCAGCCAATGCTTGATCTCCTCCAGAATCAGATAGAAGATGCAGACGCTTATTACAAGGACATCATTGCGAGGTCTAACGGCCAATATAGAGAATCTAGAATCGATCGCAAAACGAAAGGAATCACCTTGGCACAACTATGTAGTGGTGGAAAGTTTGGATGGTAGAGTTACAGGCGCCAGAACTTAAGCAAAAGGCTTTCTTCGAAACCATGGCACCAGCCCACCCGGAGCACTATACTCTTCTTCCATATTATTCGGGTATTGTTGAGACTATTGGAGAACACATGACTTGAGTGCGCATCCAGCCCCGTGCGAATTCCCCCGACTTTGTGCTTGAGTACGGCGATAGGAGCCTTGGGTGACGGCAGCATTCTGTTCTACATCTTACAGGAGATTCGGGGTTCGGAAGAAGGTTATGATTTCCGCTTGCGACTCCTATTCCCTGTCGCAGTACCTCAAGTGTTCTTTGACGAGCATACCGAACAGTTTGCGGTTGAATTCAGGAGCTTTATCAACACAGCGTTTGCGTGGAACCAAAAGCAGTCTAATTCTACATGATTACCAATGTGACATAATTCTAAATGCTTTATTAACAAGCACTAATTTGGTTCGATCCATTTGACCCCAATCGGCTAACTTGAGTCGATTGTATTTTGGAGAATAAACGTAAAGCAACTGATCTTTCCTGAATCAAATCGTTCTCAATTATAAAGAAACATGCTGATATGTTTATTTTCTAACTTTCTATAAGATACTTTACTGTGTATGATAAAATTATTATAAAGACTATGTCAAAGAGCGCCTCCAGGCTCATTATGCAAAAGAGTATTGTAAAAGGAATGGGTATCGAAGCATTATTTATGACCAAAGAATCTGATTATATTGCCTTTTTTGTTTAAGTTAAAACACTGTGGGTTTCTTACTTTCAGAATATCATTTCAACAAACACACCTATGATCTACACTTGTACCTTCTTTGTTTCAGGAAATATCGGCATTTCCTTCAAAAAGAGTACTCATGGAAACTACCCCAGCTAGCATCATGTGAGAGTTTATAACTTTTTGAGGGTTAATCACTAAATCATCAGAACAAACCATGTTGGTATAAATAATATCATATAAAAGGATTGAAGTCTATGTAGTTGATATCCTATCATACTAATTTTGCTTCTTTTGCCATCAATAGCTGTTTCTAGCTTTTGTCTACATTGAGCAGCCAATAGCACCAATAGAAGTGAAGGGTAATGTATAAACTTTAAGGAACATGCTGAAAGAAAGAATAAAAAGCTAACCAGTTGTGGCAAAGGCCTTTTGACTTCAAAAGCTACATTATATCATCATATAAGGTATTCTGCCTTTCTATGCCTAAGGATATCTCAATGAGCCTTAGTTCATAGTCATATGCACATAGGCAAAGACGTGCTATTGAAACGCACAAGCCAATAGAAGACCGCCTTGACTGCTATCGGAACGCATTAGCCAATAGAAGGTCACGATTTGAATAATCGACCGTCAATGCTTCAAAGTATTTCCTTTACAGATACTCCTTGCTTTTTTTCTCTCTGTGAAGATGCTTTGGCCTTGGCTTTGTTCCATCCTTTAGAGGACTGGACACGCTCTTTGTTCACACTGTAACCCTAGTACGATCATGCTGGTGATTCAAGTGACTTGCAGATTTCTGGGCTGGCTACACTTGTGTGATTAACCGCTTTGCCCGTTATCTGTGAACAGAGAAATGCTCTCTAAGTGTGGCTACTCGAATAAATGCTTATGCTGATGCTAGGCGGTATCGAACCAAATACAGCTACCTACTGGCAGTCTGCCAATCCAGACTTATCTGGGAGTGTTCAACTTGTACTTTCTAGGTTTTTCAGATGTATAAGTTCAGTCCTAATACATCACCCCTTTTAAAAGGTATATATACTATTGACATTCAGTATATATCTTCTTTTTTGGGATCATATGTACTCTTACCTTCCCGTGTTTGATCCTGTTAATCAAGACTTTATTGTCTTGAGAACTGAAAGGAGTACGCTTTTATTATAAATAAATGTAAATGACAAAAAGTTGATTAATAAATGACGCGTTTTTATTATTCATTATCTGTGTGTGTTTATGTGAGTGAGTGAGATGATTTGACAATAACATCAATCATGCACATTATTAAGAATATAAAACAGTCTTGACACTATACTCTCCTTATTTTCTTATATTCCTTTCCAAGGCAATATGTAAATAATCGTTATACGTAGCTGTATGCACATCTACCTTTCATCACAGGGCTTTAACCTGAAATGAAACGATTGAAAATTTAGTTGAAAAATAATCAGACCTTTGCTGTACTAGTCAACCCTTGTTGTTTTTTGTTTGAATGGCGGTCAAAGAATGAAACTGGGTGCTTTGCCCCATTCCGTTCAATCTGTTGGCATAAACAGGAAACAAGCTTTCATCGGCTATTTGATAGATCAGTTTGTTACAATTGTTGTCAAGCATAGCATAAAGTTAAAAGGTGTATAGAATAAACTGTAAAGCTTGATCTCTAATTCTTTTACGGATTTTTGTATATGCATCGTTAAGTTTGAATAAGTAAGCAGCTTGTGAGCATGCCCATAGTTCAGATTAATCGTTTTAAATTAGAATAAATACATACATACTAAAGAGAAGAAGAAGTACAATCGTTTAGAAGATGAATCTGCGTTTAATTAGCTTTTATAAAATTAGATGAAGCAGATCTAGATGTAATCTCAAGGATATGATAATTCATTTATTATACAAAACTCATTGATGAAAGAGAAAGAGAAAAAAAAAACTTTCTAGACGCTTTATCAATCAAAGGGATCAGCAAGAGTAGGCCAATTGGGTAAATAACGTCTATCAACGAGTGGCCATACTTGATTTGGATCATATAGTTCAATGAATTGCTGGTCCATTGATCTTGATTTTGGGTGAGAGAATCTTCTATATTCATCAAATATTGATGTATGGCTCCAATTTTGTAGTTTTCGTAAACAACCTACTAGGCAACCAGTACGATGCTAAAATAGTGATGAGATATCCTTTCTTTCTCTCTCTATATATTGACAGTACCTTTCCCTTATTGCAATGTATAAGAATCGGGTGGTTTCTTTTATCTAATAGGGCTGCTAATGCTGCGCTTATTTTATCTTCAGGTACTATAATTAAATGTGAGAGGGGGATAAAATGATTTTGGTAGATAAAAAGAACTTACTTTGTACAAATGGTTCCTATAGCAAAAATCAATTAGTAACCATAGAAAACAGACAAAAAAGAGTATTATACCTTGTTGCCTGCAATGCCAAACTGTAGAAATTTGATATTATGTTCTTGTAAAAATTTCATATTTTGTTCTGGGTATTCTTCTAGAATGAGTGTTCTAATGAAATGAGTTTACTTGCTTCATTTATGTTTAAATGATATTTACAAGACACTTTTTAGTTTTAACTTTTCCAAGAATTTATAATGCTTCTTTTTTGGAAATGATGAGCGATAAATGTGTTCACAGACCATGTTGAAGTTTTCTGGTGGTATCAGTGCTTCTTCAAAGTCATTGTCGTCTTGTATTTGAAATGAATCTAATGCAGACCAGTTGGCATCTGTTAGAGGTTTAGGGACTATGGTCGTTGTCGTTGTTATTGCTGCTGTTGTTTCTTGATCTTTGTTATTTTCTGTCATTTCCAAATGTTTAAAAAGAGAAAGAAAAATTGAACCAATGATTGGCTGTCATTGGCTGTCATTTACCAAAAGGTCAATACTATACACTAAATTTTGATAACTTTTACTAGACATAAAAGGATAATACAAGCTTAGATGCATGGTCTGAGTGATATGAATTCATAAGGTAACATATATCTTGGAATTTAAACAAGGCTATTTGGAATAGCTTTCTCGTTGATAGCCAATTAAAGTGTAATTGTTATTGATCTTATACTGTGTACCAATAGTTTCTAAAGAAGGTGTATATATTTTATATCAGCAACTGTATCTAATATATGCTACTATGAATGAGAGCTTTAATTTATTTCTATCCGAATGGTCAGATCTTGTAAATATTTCCTTGTGTTTATGCAATTGACGATTCTTGACAGCAAAGCCCTTTATTAAATGTATCCACTGACAAGCAATGAGCCAAAAAGCCCAACAAATTAGGAATACTTGAGCCTATTGACTTTACACCAAATATTCAGCGAGGTTAATATATATTTTAGTAAAGATATCATGTTTTTTCCTAGGAGATTCTTTTTTTTTTGCCAGATCCTCCTTCACGTATTGAAGGAGAGCAAAGAAGAGCGAGCTAGACGTTGATGCTATGACGTCAAGTGTTTACTTGTTTCATTACTTTTGTTAAGTGGAAATCATTACCAAGAGATGGTTTGAGATATGTGGAAATGTTTTTTTTAACTGGAGAGATTAAGGCAATAAGTTAGATAAGATATTGATGATAACAAATGCATCAATGCCATATCTTTGTAAAAAAAGAAGTAAGGTAGCATTTGAGCATATGCTTGTCATCTTTTTATAAGCCCTTTCTTTTCTTAATCCCCCAACTGAAAGCAGGTCTTTATAGTAATGGGTTAAACAGAGCAGAAACCAAAGAGTTACCATAAAAGGATTATTTTTAAAGCAAGCAATTGTTACAAAAGCTTATTAAATAAACTTGTTTCTTTTTTTTCTATTTTTTTTTTATTATTATTATTTTATTAATCTACAGCCAAAATGACGACTCGATACCAAAAAGTAAGGGCAATAAATAATAATAACAGAAAATAACTCATGGTTAAACATAGCTTGCTTCTCATGAAGAAGATGAGGACTTTGTTGCTAGTAGTAGTAGTACTAATAACAACAATTCAACACAGCCATCGCAACAACGTTCTGCACAAACACAACAATTAAACGACTTACAAGATACCTTTGGAGAAACATTTGATGAAGAAGACGAAGAGCATTCAGCTGTGACCGATAGACTGCTTCACAGCAATAATGATAACAACAACAATAATAACAATAGCCATATATCAATACCAGTGCCACAATCTTCTTCTTCATCACATCATACAAGTGGCCCAGCCATATTACCCGTATCAACAGATGGTGTCTTTTCCAATATCTCAGCCAAACCAGAATCTGATAGTAAAAAGTTAGAAGAAACACCTCCTGTAAGTCAGCCCTAATTTTTAAAGAAAATATATAAACTAATATCATGACTAGACGTATGAAGAGGCAGCAGCAGATGCAACACCACCTTATTGGCAAACAACAATCATTGCACCAGCCGGGATGGGTGATATTGTGCTAGTAGAAGGGATGCCAGTAGGAAATATATTTGCTTTCTTCTGGAACTTGTTGAGTAAGGAAGGACATTTATAATGTATTTAATGAAAACTCACACGCAATTGTCTAAAGTATCCGCAAGCTTTCAATTTGTTGGATTCATGCTCACTTATCTATTACACACATCTCATGCATCCAAGGTAACTAAAAGATAGAGCCTAAAGGATAATCACTCATCTTGTTTTTATTTCGCAGCAAGGATCACGGGCAGGTCTTGGCGTCTCACTTGTTCAAACAGGATTTTATATTCGAAGTCGTAAGTTACACAACTTTAAGTAACAAATGATATTAATCTATTTGATATAGGAGGCACATTAGAAGATGATGACTATTACTATAGTAGTAATGGTGAATCCCAAGACAAAAATAACGAGAACCAGCTTGATGGTATGGATGCAGATATCATTGCATACTTGCTTATGATCATTGGCTGGTTTATCATTATACGTTCAATAGCAGATTATTTTAGAGCAAAGCAAATGGAAAAGATTATTCGTTCTGAACCAAACCCTGAAGCTATTGTGTAAAAGGAAATAAATCGAAGGCGTTTTTGACCTGAAATTTAATCTGAGTGAACAAATGTTTTCAAAGACAGGACGCAAAATGACTCAGAGAATCTCATTCAAGCCACTATTTTTAATTAAATAGCTTGCTTTATCTTTTTTTTTTTTAATTCTTCTCTCTTTGCGCAGTCTATCAAAGAAAACAAAAAAAAATGCCTGGCCTTTATATGCTTGATTATGGTGCAGGCAATGTTCGCAGCTTAGTGAATGCCGTTCATCATTTAGGCTTTGATATCCAATTCGTAGAGGAACCTTCAGATATCGCTAAAGCTGATGTAAGATTGAACTGATATAACGATGAGCAATAAATTAAGAGATATAGAAACTTATTTTCCCTGGTGTGGGTGATTTTGGATATGCCATGCGAGCCTTACGTAACAAGGGCTACTCTCAACCTTTAAAGGACTATATTGCCTCCGGAAAGCCCTTTATGGGTATCTGTGTAGGTATGCAGTCCCTATTTGAAGGTTCTGATGAAAGCGATGAAGCAGGATTGGGCATTATTCCTGGCAAGGTCTCCAAGTTTGACGCCACATCCAAGGCTGTACCTCATATGGGATGGAGCAATGTGCAAGTGATCAAGGAACAAACCAAGGATGAGGGACAAGAAGTGAATTATAGCATGAATGATGACAAGGTTTATTACTTTGTTCACTCTTATGCTGCAAGATATACAGAAAAGAACAAGGAATGGACATTGACCACAAGTCAGTATGGCGATGAATTGTTTATCTCTTCAGTACAAAAAGACAACGTGTTTGCTACACAGTATCACCCCGAAAAGAGCGGATATGCTGGTTTGAACGTTCTCAAATCTTTCTTGACTGGCACCGGTATTGTAGACAACAGGCATATCATCAACAAAGAACCCGTCTTGTACGAAAAGCATAAACTTACAAAGCGCATCATTGCCTGCTTGGATGTCCGTGCAAATGATCAAGGTGACCTGGTTGTCACCAAGGGCGATCAGTATGATGTTCGTGAAACAGGAGGAAGCAACGATGTGCGTAATTTAGGAAAACCTGTCGATTTGGCCAAACGCTATTTTGAAGAAGGAGCTGATGAAGTGACGTTCTTGAATATTACCAGTTTCCGTAATTGTCCCTTGGGTGATACACCTATGCTCGAAGTCCTCAAGCGTACATCCGAAACCGTGTTTGTTCCCTTGACGATTGGTGGTGGTATTCGTGATGTAACAGATCCAGATGGCACATTCCATCCTGCTTTTGAAGTCGCAGGAGAATACTTCCGTTCAGGTGCTGATAAGGTCTCTATTGGTAGTGATGCTGTCTATTGCGCTGAAAAGTTTTATGAAAATGGATGCAAAAAGACAGGAACAACTGCAATTGAGACAATTGCAGATGCCTATGGTTCTCAAGCTGTTGTCATCTCTGTTGATCCTCGTCGTGTATACGTCAAGGATCCTAGTGAAACAACACACCATGTCGTCAAGAACTCCCAGCCTGGCCCTAACGGAGAAGAGTACTGCTGGTATCAATGTACTGTCAAGGGTGGTCGTGAAGGTCGCGACTTGGATGTTGTTCAATTAGTCACAGCCTGTGAGAAATTAGGTGCGGGTGAAATCTTGTTGAACTGTATGGATAGAGATGGTACCAACTCTGGCTTTGAACTTGAATTGATTCGTGCTGTCAAGGAAGCTGTTTCTATTCCAGTCATTGCCTCAAGTGGGGCAGGATGTGTGGAGCATTTTGAACAAGTATTTGAAAAGACAGATGTAGAAGCCGCTTTAGCAGCGGGTATTTTCCATCGTAAAGAAGTTCCTATTCAATCTGTAAAAGATCATTTGAAAAAGACAAATGTAACCGTTAGACCTGTTGATACAACCATTTTGTAAATAAAAATTAATGTTTTACTGACACGAGTGTCGCAACCAAAGATCAATAGTAAAAATGCACCCCTTTGTTACATTAAGATAAAGGAGATTCCATATTAGGCTTAGCTTCCCTTTTTAATTTAAGGTACGATTATACAATCTTTTTATTAAGCCCAAGTGGGCACGTAGTATTTTATACTGAAATTGCCTGGTCAAGTTCAACAAAGTGAGGTGTATAATGTGGTGAGGGTGGGAAGGTACTGATGGCGGAGGGGGAAAGCATACAATTTAATGGGTGTAGGTGAAGGGAGATAACTAAACATAAAGTATAGGAACAAAAAGAATCGTGCGTTTTTGACATGACAATATGAATATCACCAACCTTAATTTATCTTGCGGGTAAAATAAATGAGGCGCACCACAAAACACTTTCATATAACGCGTCATGTCCAATTCTTATTGGTCATAAACAATCCTGTTTGCATATAAAATGCTGTTTGTAATAATGGGCTTTCTCTTTTTTCTTCTTATATAGAAACTATATTGAGGAATACTAACATACATATGTAATTATTCTTTGCTATCATTCATCTATATTGCTAGAGTTACTCTTTTAGATACGGGAAGTGCACATGCCAACCCAGGTCAAAAGCCTTACAAGGACCAATCACTACCTGCAAAAGCTACATTAATATCGACGAGCTTGTTCTCTTGTGGAGAACGCAGTGACTGAGATGTGGGCTATTTCTTGATTTGTATTTCCTGCTCTTCGCAGGTTTTGAAGCCACTGGCCACATTCTATACACAAAAGTTATCGACTCTTTTTAAAAGCTTTACAAGAATATGAACATTTCAATCAGAGCTTGAGAATATTCTTGCAAAAAGTGTGCAACTACATGAACTCCAAGGGTATGAAACTATATTTTTGCTACATTACCGTGAGCTATGTTATGTAATGGTTTATACGATACAAAGCAAAGACAAAAGAAGTACACATTATTCATCTTTATTCTGAGATAAAGGTAGAAGGAACATACAAATAAATTAAAGGTATACTATTTATAGTTGCTATCTAATGGTTGGTGAACCATTGTTTTAAGCGTGGATTGTAATTACTGTAGCGTGTTTAAGCATTATTTGTTTATGCATTGATTCATTGCCAAGAAAATGTCATGGTTACGCATGGCACAAGGTGAATAAGCACAAGAGCGCAACTGGTGACAGAGAGTATTCTCTTTATAGGACAATGGTAGGGTAATAATACGGTTACATTGGGCGTAAATAAAAGTTTCTATTTTTTGCATGAAAGTGTTGCCTCACCGTATCATAGCAACCAAAGTACTCCGAAAAAGTCAGTCCATAGAAAACCAAGAGACACTCAAGAACAACGCTTCGTACAAATGACGGATCATCCATTTTCAATAAATGCTAACCAAAAAGAGGGAGGACAGAAGAACGGACAGGCGAGGGGGTATAAAAAAAAAACAGCAGACCACCTTCTATTTTGAGTTACAGAGGGCATTTTATTTGTGTGACCCAAGTCACCACGTTGTTTTATTTATATTCAAGAAGCATTTCATTCTCTTTCTTTTATTTTTCTGCTGTTTGCTGTTTTGCTTGCAAAAAAAAATACAAAACCTTATAAAATGGCAAGCCAGCAAAATGTTAGCAAGTCAAACAGGCCGATTTCTTTTGTTGGCATGAATGTCAACCAAGTAAAGTCTGAACTTGCCGCTCAACTAAGCAATCAGGAACAACTATTGGCAAAGCTAGGAACAAGTCAAATTAGTCGAAATGCGTTCTTAAAACAATCAGACATGATTCGAAAAGAACTTCAAGATCTCAATAAATATAATCAACAAGACGAATTACCTACTGAAATTAGAGAAAAATTAGAAACTTTGGCAAATGAGTTTCAGCACATAAAGGCAACCAAGGTGAGTAATAAAAAAAATCAATTGTTTGTGTTCTATCTGTAATATTCATCTATTTTGCATCATTTAGAGCTCAGATACTGTCTCTCCTTTATTACCTCCTGCGCCAACTCACAGTTCATCCTCTAAACAACGAGCTAAATATGCAAATGGAAATAAACGTAACCCAGATATCGAGTTCGCCACAGAGATTGGTCAAGGGCTACTCATTGAAGTGAGAAAACTACAGAATATCATCCAAGAAAAGGAAGAAATCATAAAACAACTGGAAGCAGCCAGGACAGAGAATGAGCGTCATCATGAAACAGCTCAGAGACATTTAAAGCAGCGTGAGGAAATCGAAGGTAGGTTATCAATCAGAATACTTTGATATTTATTAATAATATCTTGTATTAAAAAAAAAAAGAGAGATTAAAGGAGGAAAATTGGAATCTTGAGGTAGCAAATCAGGAACTAAGAACTCATTTATCGGAATCTAATCAAACGATCGCTAAACACAACGCAGAATATGCCAGATTAGTCAAACAAGTCAAAAGCCAGTCGGAGCAGATTGATATCATGAAAGCCCAAGAAGAAAAGAACGCTTCGTTGATTGAAGCAATGAAGGCGAGACATGAACAAGAGACACATCAGTTGCGAAAACATGCTGCCAATGCTCAGCGTGAAAATGCTCAAATTCAAAAGCAGATCGAAGCACTCAATACAGAACTCAAGATATGCAAGGCTAAACTGGCCATTAAAATGGCCACAGCCTCTGCTCGTAGTGAAGAGCCTAGTGAATCGTCAGAAACAGCCGCAGACAAGAACGACCAAGACTCGGATCACTCTGTGAAGGATGTGCATCCTACTCCATCTACTAGCACAACAACCAACCGCAGCCAGCAGCTTGAAACAGAAACACTCAAACAATCCTTGGCTCATGCACATCGAATTATCTCGAACCTTAGGAGCACAGCACACAAGGAAAAGCTAGAAAAGTTTGAGTTGAAAAAGATGCTCTCAGATAGTCAGGAAACAATTGAACAGCTGCGTAAAGATTTAGCCAACATGAGCAATAATGCCATCTCGATGAATGGCAGCCGCAGCAACACAAAGCCTGCCAAGAAGAAGCACACCAAAAAGAGACGTGGTGGTGTTGCAAGACAAGCGCGTGGTGTTTCAATTAATGATTCATCTGATTCTGATCAACAAAGCATAAAGTCAAGCGATTCTGAATTGGATGATAGCATGGATGAACAGCAGGACCCTCAATTCAACAATGGGCTGGGTCTTGGTTTTGGTACACCTATAAGCGCTTTGCCTATGAAGCCACTGTCTTCCGAGCTGGAATTCAAGGTGCAAGTGATTGATGTTGGCATCAACACAGATCCTATTGATATTGTGGCACATGAAAAGCCTAATGACAGCTTGTCATCCGTCAGTCTGAGTACACACTCTGTTGCACCTGTCACAAGCAATGAAAAAGCTGTAGATGTTACCACCGTGCCACAACTCTCGGAAACGAGCTTTATTACAGACGCTCGTCAAATTACCTTAGAGCGCACGACTAATAACCAGCCATCTTTAGGCACCAATGATATACCCAAAGCCGCTGAAAAGCCACAAGTCATCGTTCAAGAACAGATAAAGCATGTCGTGCTTCGAGAACTCCAAACAGCATCTGCACGTGCTGCTATTATTCTTCCTCAAGAACAGATGACCCTGCTAATCAAAGAAAGAGTCTTTGTGCCCACAGAGAGCAGCTTCAGCCAATTACCTACTCTAGACAGCCATCAGCAGACGTCTATTGATATTGGCCCTACTGTTGATACTCAACCCAGGACAGATCTAATTAGCCTCGAGGAGGCCAAGAAGATGGTTAAAGAAGCACTAGAAAAGTCTCAAGTGGAAGTGCAACAAACTATGATATCAAAGGCTGATGTTGACAAATTAATTACTGAGGCACTGGAAAAGAGTGCAGCTGCAACAAAACAAGACATGATTCCAAAGACAACTGTAGATCAGCTGATTGCTGAAGCCATTGAAAAGGCAGTTTTGTCAGAAAGAGAAGAGATGCAATCACGCATGGTAGAAAGAGAAGAAGTGGAGGAAATGCTGAAGATGATGGTTCCCAGATCTACTGTTGATCAGCTTATTGCCAAGGCTACCGAAGAAGCCATTCAGCTTGAGCAACAAAAGCGCGCAGATGAGGTGTCTGACCACCCCGTACAGCCTTCTCAACAACAAGATGAAGAAATAGTTGCAAAGCATCAAGTAGATATTCTAGTATCGGAAGCTGTTGAAAAAGCAATCTTGGCAGAAAGGCAAAGAGTCGCCGCTGAAAAAGAGAATGAACCTAGTCGAGAGGATACCAAGCCTAGAATTGTCTTTTCAGAAGGACATGAGTCAGTCATTGATATAGCTCCCACCAGCTACCATGGAGCAGCAGAAGAGCAGTTGACTGAAAGCAAATCTATTCACATTTCAGAACAGCCAGCTGTTGAAGAAAAGAGTATCCCAGCTATTGCAGAAGAAAGGGAGGATGAGCTAAAGGAAGACATGATTGCTCAATCTCAAGTTGACAAGCTGATTGCCGAGGCCACAGAAAAAGCACTTCTTTTCGAGAACCAAAAGATTTCTTCGACCATGATTCTCAAAGAAGAAGCAGAAAAGATGGCTGTAGAAGCAAGTACCAAGGCATTTGAAGAAGCCAAGCGGGAAATGCAAAAGAAGATAGACCAAGACATGATGTCTAAATCAAAAGTAGATACCTTAATTGAACAAGCTAAACAAAGCGTACGAGCTGAGCTCGATATAATACTTAAAGAAGCCCAAATAGCAGCTACAAAGGACATGATCACCAAGTCAGAAGCAGAAACAATGGCTCTGGAAGCTGTTGAAAAAGAACGATCCAACATGATTAGCAAGGAGGAAGCACAGGATCTTGTTACGCAGGCTGTTGCAAGGGAAACCGAACGACTGCTAAACGAACATCAACAAGCCTTAGAGAAGGCCATGGCAGAAGCAGAAGCAGTCAGAAGTGCTGAAAAAGAATCCTTGCTCAAGACAATCGAATCTTACAAGAAAGAGTGTGACGATTTGAATCAGAGAATGAAACATATGCTCACTAAAGACAGTACTGATGTTTTAATCAAGCGTGCAGTGGCAGATGCTTTGAAGACTGCTGAAAAGAAGCAAAAGGAAACGCTTGCCAACATGATTTCAAGAGTAGATGCAGATATTCTTACCCAACAAGCCGTGTCCCGTGCACTTGAACAGGAACGAAAAGAAGTGGCTGAAAGAGAAGCAGCCGAGGCCGTTGAGATGATTTCAAAGGCAGAAGCTGAAGCGTTGGCAAAGGTTGCTGCTGCTGATGCTATTGTTAAAGAACGTCAAGCACAAGCAGCACGCGAAAAGGAACTCATTACCAAAGAAGAGGCTGATACTTTGGCACAACAAGCAGTAAGAGAAGCGGTTGAAAAAGAAAAACTTGAGCATGCAGAGATTCTGGCTAAAGAAAGAAAGGCAATGAAGGAAAAGGAAGAAAATCTGATTACTAAAGAACAGGCCGAGACAATGGTTGCCGAAGCTGTGCATAATGCATTGGAGAAGGAGAGAAAGGCTCGTGCTGAACATAATACCAAGTCCAGTACACCAGCTCCTTCCAAGCATCCTCACTTACCTCATTCACCTCTTGCTATTGAGAGATCTATTTCTACTTCAAGGCTTGCTCCTCCTTCATCACAAGTATCACCTTCTCCATCTGTCTCTACACCTCCTGCAACTAGCAGACACAAACTAAGATTATCCAGCTCCGTTTCGTCATTAAGAAGAAAAGCCTCTGCTGATCATGGCAGCAGCAAGAAAGAACCTCATTCTAGACAAAGTACTGAAAGTCACCGTAACTTTGGCACTCTTCGTATATTTGAAAGCACTACCTATGGCTCTCGTAAGCTATCATCTCGATCCAATCTGCGTAACTTTGCCAACCAAGAATCAGCTACATCCATTTCAACAATATCTTCAGAAGATGCTCAACAATATCTTCCTCTCTCTGCTCGTTCAGATGACAACCTTGCCGCATTCGCAAATCACGAAGGCACAACTGATCTCGAAGTCATCACTGCTATCACTAAAACTATGATTGGTGAATGGCTATTAAAGCATACGCGTCGTTATGTCGGTGGTGGCATTTCTGAGAATAAGCATAGACGATTCTTTTGGGTTCATCCTTATACGAAAACATTATATTGGAGCTCTATTGAACCTGGTGTAGATGGAAGTGAATCCAAAGCAAAGAGTGGTATGCATAAGAGAAAATGCTGGATAAGTTTCATCTAACCTATTTCTTGATTATTCTTATAGCTTTTATTGAATCAGTTGTTCAAGTGCCTAGCAACAATAACCAGGAAGCTTCACCCATGAGTCTCTTGATCCGTACACCCAAGCGAGATCTCAAATTGACAGCACCAACTCTCGAAAGACACGAAATTTGGTTCAAGGTAAAGCGAGTGTATATAGTAGTAAACAATCAAAATTAAACATTTATTTAGTCATTATCATACTTGCTTGGAAGATCAACTCATGCTCATCCATCTACAGAAGAATCACCAACAGAAGAAAGTCAGTATAATAATACCATGCAAAGTATTAAAAGTATGATACCCATTCATGACGTTACTCAATATGATTCTGATGACTCTGAAGATATAGTTAACATAAGACAATGTTGTGATGGAAAGCATGATGTCTCGACTCTTTCAAAAAAGCACTCACACACTCATTTATAATAATAACATGTACACACACATACACGACATATTAAATAAAAAACCCCACTACTTGCCATAAAAATCATTGCATTGTACCAATCAAACGTTGGCGTACATTCTGTCCAATGCAAAGTCAGTATTTGATGACGATGAGAGTAACCTATATCAATGAGTCATTCAGAGAATAAACAAGACTTTTTATTATATCACATATAACAATTTATATATATATACATACATATATATATGCACTGTTGTAAAAACCTCCTTTCGGATCAAGCAAAATAAACGAATCTTTATCACTGCCAATGACACACTAACTATTTTAAGTATCTCAGATTAAGAAAAGGCTGCATCATTTTTTTTTTTTTCTTTTTCTCTCTCTTTTTCTCTCTCTTGTTGAACATAATTAAATTATGCTTGATATACAAAAAACAGACACTGCATGGCATACAGCCTCGCATAATACTGTTCCACCCGAACTATTACGCTCCCTTAGGCATCATTCGTTATTTCAAAGAGCTAATAATGAAAACTTTTTGGAAAAAATCGCCTGTAGAATGCATTTAAGAACATATGGACCACGAGATGTGATTGTTGTTGAAGGAGAGCCTGCAAAGGCCATGTTTTTCTTATTAAGAGGTTCAGTGGATGTATGCTCTGCCGATTTTGAACGAATTTATGCCAACTTATCGCAAGGATCATGCTTTGGTGAAATCGGTATTCTTTATTCTATGCCCCGTACAGCAACGGTGATTGCCAGAACAAAATGTATCGTTGCTTCATTGACAGCTGAGGAAGTCAATAATTTGTTACCACAATACCCAGAAGTTGAGAAAATGCTTCGATTTGAGGCTGAAGAAAGATTGGCGGTATTAAGCAAGAGTAAAAATCTTGGAGTGAAAGAAAAGGTTAGTTTGAAACCAATGACAGAACGTAACATTGAAGACTTTACCGGCATTCGTCAATTACTTCAAAAGGTAAGATCTCATCCAAGGGATATAATTTCCTTTTTGTTAGAGACCCCTCTTGTTCACTCTCTCTAGGGTAGATCCCCTTTTTTCAAGGTTGTCCAGAAGAGTTTTTACATCTTATATCGCTCAAGGTCGAACCTCGTCATTATGCACCTAATGCGGTTATTATTAGTAAAGGCGAATATGGAAATGAACTCATATTTATCATTAGTGGTAAAAAAAAGAGAGACTTGCTCATTGCATGATTTTTGTCATTATTAATCTTGCCTGATTTTTTAGGTACAGTAGAGCTTACCAAGACAGACGATTCAGGCATATTGGTACCCATTACTCGATTAAGCCAAGGAGATTATTTTGGTGACATTTCTGTATTACTAAATACGCCGAGGGCTACTGATGCAAGGGCAGTGACAGCATTGGAACTATATATTTTGAAAAAATCGGATTTTATGGATGTTGTTCATCATTTCCCAGATTTATTGGGTCGCTTTAAAGCAATGGCAGAAATCTCACTTAGTCATTTACAGTCAATGGTAAGAAAATAATGAACCATGATATGTAATATAACACTGTCCTTTATAGACAGGAGCGTATCAAATGAGAGGCGTAGAAGAAGCGATAGGTAAAATACGGAAAACATGTGGTAATGATGATATACCTGTGTTTAGTAACCTATTTATTAGATACTCCTATTTCTCCACGCACAAACCACGAACAGCTTTCTCCTGAAGGATTGTCGTCTTTGACCATTCCAACTAACTCCGTGTGTAGTACGACGGCTGACCAAGATCCTACCTTGTTACCTCCTACGCCTACAAGCAATCTGAAAAAGACAGAAACGAGAAGAAGAAGAGCCAGCGTAGCCGTATGGTCCGATCCTAATCTGGTTGCGCTTGCAAATCGACACATCAAGCCTGACAAACATGAGACTCAGCAGACGAAAATGATGATTGAAAGCACCCAGCCACAGCCCAAGATCTCTCAACCAGTGATTAAGGGACAATTAAGTTTATTCACCGAAGATATTTTATCGCGTATTGTCAATTGCCTTGACTTTACGTCCATACTGCAGCTTTCGATCGTGTCTAAGCAATGCCGAGAATTTATCCAACAAAACAGTAATGTCTTGAAATCGCTTGACTGGAGTTCCATGCATAAAAAAATAACCGACAGCAACGTGGATCATCTTGTTCAGTTTACTGGAAGCCGAGTACGCTATTTGAATCTGTCTCAGTGCTTCTATTTGACCGATGATGGATTTAAAGTGTTGGTGGAGAATTTGCCAAATGTAGAAGTTATGGACCTTAGTTCATGTTGGCTTTTGACCGACAAAAGCCTCGCACTCTTAGGAACAACATGTCCTCAGCTCACTCGATTGAATTTATCAAACTGTCGCAAAATTAGCGATATTGGGGTATTCAGATTACTCGATGCAAAAGCATCCAACTCATATCCGATGCTGGAAGAGCTGTCTGTATCCTACTGCAAAAAGTTATCCGACACGACGATGCGACACTTGGCCAGTTATTGTTCTAATACATTACAGTTACTCAACATTCAACGTTGTACACGTATTACTGATCTAGGATTTCTAGCTTGGACATCTACATGCTTTCCACAACTGCAAGAATTGAATTTGAACGATTGCAGCTTTTTAACAGACCAAGCCATAGCTTACTTGATATCTGCAACACCAAACTTGAAGAGACTGTCTTTAAGTTTCTGTTGTGCTTTATCAGATAGTGCCATCGAAAGACTGGCTACATTGAAACAACTCGAGTACCTCGACGTCAGCTTTTGTGGTGCTGCTGTCTCTGACGTATCTGTCCGTACCTTGCTAGCATCGCAATCTATGAATTCACTCAATATCAGAGGCTGTGTGCGTGTGACTGATACGACTGTATATTCAATTCTGGAACTAGGACAATTGAGGATGTTAAATATTAGCCAGTGTCCCGGGATTAGTTCAAACGCAAAGGAAGCGATCAAGGCACACGCTAAGCTTCAAGAGCTTATTGTATAATTCTTGCCTTTTCTTTTGTATATAAAGTATATATTTCTGTACAAATAAAAAAAAAGTTCTCTTACAAACAATTCTGAAAATTATATCACAGTATCATCTTTAATAATGTGAGGCAGGGATAATAAGATCATCGTCTTTGAACGAGCTATTAGCCCATTCTGGTAAGGGGGATTCATATGACCATCCTGAGGCTGTGTATTTGACTGCATGTAACCATAAGGCTAATTGACTTGACGTTGGGTCTGTTTGTATGATGGGCACATTACATTCTTGGCATCTTGGCAAATCTGACTCGTCAAAGGGATCCTTCATATAGTCATCAGGTGTAGTATGGATCATGGATTGAATAATAGCTTCCGTATTACCTACTGAGCCAGATGATGGCAATAAATCTGACCATGGAGTCAAAAATCCATAGATAGGATCATTAGCTATTGGATATCCTAAATATCGCAAATGAACGCGAATCTGATGGGTACGTCCAGTGACAGGTCTACATCGTACAATACTTGTCCGTCCGTTGAAGCTTATTCTATCGAATACAGTAGTACAATCCTTCCCATCAGGATGGACATAATTGTAAGGAACTTCATAGGCTAACTGCTTGATAGGTGCATCGCAGACAATCTGTTGACTGTATACAATGTTCATTTATGTTCAAACTACAACGGCCTCCCCATTAACAATACCTTGGAAATTTACCCATCACTCTGCAAATATATTCTTTTTCGATCGTTCTTTCTCTCAACTCTTTCTTGATATATGCTGCTCTCTGAGAACTCTTTGCTATGAGAGTTAAACCAGAAGTGGATCGGTCAAGTCGGTTGATGGCTATTATTTTCTAGTCTTTTAATCAACAAGCTCCCCTCATGTCTATAATAACATGCTTACGGAAAAGTCTATCATAGCCCTTTTCTTTCATTAGGATATGAACTGCTGTATTATGTCTATATCTTCCACCTGGATGAACCTGAATACTACCAGGCTTATTGATAACTACTAAACCTTCATCCTCATATACAACTTTGACATCCTGATCTGTGACAGGTGGCTCATGTCTGTGTACCCTGTGAATAACAAGATCATTATGCTGAAGTACAGTGTCACATTCAACCTTTTTATGATTTACAGTGATCAGTTCCTTTCGTATTGCATATCTCTAATATATCAATTAAAAACCCTGTTTGTAAGATAATGAGAGTATTTACATAATAAAGTTCTGATCTTCCACGGTACTCTGCTACATATGCATCCAGAATAGATTTGCCAATCATCCTTGGCTTTACATAGGCATGAAAATCGTAATAGTATGGCTTAACCTTTCTTAGACCTAACAAATATGTATATGAATATTACTTTCTATTATAATAAACAATACCATTTTCAAAATAGTATTCTGCCATAGCCACGTCATTTTCTAATTTTGTTGAAAAGCATCTTTTCTGACTGATTGATTTAAGCCATCTATGAACAATCAACATGAGCCAAGAATGAATAAGACACAAGATCTACTGACAGGGACTTTTGATCAATAATTCAATCCCCGTTTTTCAATGCACAGAGCGTTGCGGATAATGAAACCAATGCCGAGACAAATGAATATTCTTGGACTCTTTCTTTCTTTCGTATTGAAATTTATGTTTTCTAGAACTAATCCATTTGACGAATGTGTTGGTAAGAAGCCCTTACTATTGAGCTTTTTGGCCGAGATAATCTTACTTATTGAATAGCTGCTGCAACTGACGAAAACTTAACGGGGGAGAACTGGGAACTTATATTAACCGTAACGGATAAACTGTCTAGGGCCTCTACTGAAAGGTAAAAAAAAAGTCTGTAAATAATATAAAAAGCTGGTCTTAATAAGTATTATGTATAGTGCAAGAGATTGCATTGCTGCGGTTGAAAAGCGTCTGAACAACAGAAATCCTAATGTTCAGCTGTATGCATTAGCCGTAACTATTCCAACTACTCTCCTTCTTTTGTTTTATTTCTAACTTATATATGTGTATAGTTGACTGAAGCATTGGTCAAAAACTGTGATTTAATTGTTCACAGGGAAATCTCTTCTCGTTCGTTTACCAATACACTTGTGAAGCTTGTTCACGATAGGGTAAAAAAAAAAATGAACAAGAACAAAAATAGAAGACTAATACAAAGATAATAGAATGTTCATTCAAAAGTTAGAGTACGCATTTTAGAGTTGATTCAAATGTGTTCTTTTGAATTCAGAGCTGACTCTACACTGGGTTTAATGAATGAAGTATATCACTCTTTGCGTGCGGAAGGTGTACCGTTTCCTTCCCCTCAGAAGCCTAAGAAAGAGTTCACTCAAGTAAGACAACAACATTCAGGATAATGAAAGATCTCTTACTAATACTACATTCTAGTCTGAACTTGATAAGCAAAAAGAAGAGGAGGAACTTCAGTTAGCTTTGGCTTTATCTCTTTCTGAATCAGAAAACAATAAGCGGGCAGGCTTCAAGGTTTGGAAAAAGGATACAATGAAAATTTCCTTTTTTAACCTTTATGTTTATAGTCATCCACTACTGTTGCTACTGCTACTGCTACTACTACCACGAGCACTACAAACAAGGTAAAAATAAGCATAAATAACAATACAATAATATTAACAGATAGCCAGAATGATAACCAACCTCAAATTTCACGAGTGAGAGCTTTATATGACTTTCAACCAACAGAGCAAGGTGAACTAGGATTTGAAAAGGGCGATATCATCAGAGTCATCGAAAGTGTTTATCGAGACTGGTGGAAAGGAGAGTTAAGAGGAAGAACAGGCATATTCCCTGTTAATTACGTGGAAAAGATTGTAGATCCATCACCTTCTGATATACAGAAAGAAGCTTCTATTGAAAATGAGGTCTTGAATCAAACAAACAGCATCGATCGCTTATTGGAATTGCTAACAAACCCAGACCCTCGTGTCAGGGACTCATTTTCTGATAATGATGAGCTTCAAAATCTGTACAACAATGCGTTATCCATTAGACCTAAGCTTGTAAAATTGATTGAGAAGTATAGCTTGAAAAAAGGTAACAGAGAGAGAGAGGCACACATACAACAGGTACTAACTATGCGCTATAGATGAACTTGTTGCTTTGAACGAAAAGTTCATACAAGCTCGAAGAATGTATGACACCATGCTTTCAAATTCATTGGCAAGATACTCAAATGTTCAGAGCCCTTATGGATACCCACCCACCGGTCAGCCTTTTTCATATGAACCTCAGTACTATAACTATCAATCATTTGCTCCACCGTCTCAACCACAATCCTTTAATTACCAAAGCTCTGCGCCACAGCCACCTACACCTGTTCAGTCTAATGCAACTCCTGTTCAGGCACCCTCTGGCTATTATAATGAGCCTGTTCATCAGCCTCCAACAACTATTGCACCACCATCTCAACAGTTACTGCAGCAACCACAGCAGCAGAGCATAGGAGATAATCAATATCAATCCGCTTATGATCAAAATAAGCAACCTCCTTTGCAGCAGCAACACTCTGAATTTTCTGCCTTGTATCAAAATATACCTGAACAAACAAGCTCACAAGCGCCTCCACTTCAACAGCAGCAGCCATTACAACCACAACAACAGCAACAGCCACAGCAACCACAACAACCTTTTGCTCCATACCCTCCCTATCAGTCACCAATGAGCTTTCCCAACGCTAATCCTGCTGCTCCCATTTACCCAGGCCAGCAACAGCAAACATATACTAATAATTACTAGGTTATCATTAAAAAAATTTTGTAATGAGCAAAAGAAAAAAAGCGAAGGGGTTAAATAACAAAAATGATTGACTTATAATAAAGGAATTGCTTTTGAAAACACGCACGTTTGTCATAGAGGGAGGGGGCGTTCAAAGTGGGTGACAGGAGGTGTTTTTGAAAAGAATGTACATTCTCTCATATAAAAGACGTTATTCAGTGCCTTCAGCATCTCTTTTTTTTTTTTACACCTTTTATCTGCTGGTATGATCATTGTTATCATTACTTGTTTTGCGCTATTTTTCTGCAAGATATTATGCATACAACATGGAGCAGACGTAACCGACCCTTCTCAGTATCCATTCTACGTCATGATTGGCTACCCTCACCTCTGTGGAGGCACGCTTCTCTCCTATAGCCCCGCGTTTGTCTTGACAGCAGCCCATTGTGTAGCAGATGCAGATCATCATCCGTCAGATTATTCTAAAGCACAGAACCCTTATTTTGTGAGCTACCATGATGTTCATCGGCAGCGTCAAAGAATGGCAGGCATTGCTGATTGGATGATTCATCCGTTATATAACGTTTCATCTACCATCAATCCAAGCTATGACATGGCTATCGTCAAATTGGATTCCACTCTAAGGCCGTCCCGAAGAGTACGCCGAGCTCCGTTATGGTCTCCCGAAATGACACAACCGTCGTCAACACAAGGTAGCTCTCTTTATATATTCACGATTTTTGTTCATTGACATGACATTTATAGGCGAATTCGTTGGATTTGGATATACCGACCTTGACGGAAGCCAAGCCAAAGTCTTACAGAAGCTTGTACTAAATATTACGCGGTTTGATAATACATCCAATATAGAAGCAAAAACAGATACAGACGAGCAAATCGCTTGCCATGGAGACTCTGGTAGTCCCCTCATCACTCGTCAGCCAGTGACGGATCCAAAGGATAAGAGTCAAACGATCCATGTTTCATTCGTTTTGGGGAACCTTGTTCGGATTTACGGTGCCCGAGACGTCAAAACACCTACTTGTCCTGTACCAAACAGAGAAAACAACATGATCAGTTCAGTGGCAGAAAGTTTTGCCAATGTGGCCTCTGTATTGGACTGGATTTCTCAGGTCTCTGGTATATCCACCCGCAACCTAACAGATCCATGGTATGAGCCACCCTGTCCAAACTGTCAGGAAATGACGGATGATGAACAACGAACTGACAGGTCTGCAAAAAAATGGAATATTGGTGTTGTAGCTGACGAAAACGGATTAATTAGCGATGACACTATGTGGATAGGCGCAGTTATGCCAGATTATAAGCTACTTTTGGATGATCAAGAAAACTCTTTTGGAAATAGATCAAGACCATCATTCGCTTTATGCTTTCTTTTACTATTATTTACATTTTTTATTTCAATAGCATAGTTTTTGTACATGTATTTTTACATAAAGTCATCATCGCTTATTTGAATGGTATCTTTGGGAGCAATTTCAGATGAAAACTCTTCAATAATCGAATCCTCTGTTTCTTCTATCGTTTCGTCATCTTCTTCTCCATTATATTTATCCAAATTGATCCTATCTAACCAATGACGACGCCTACTTTCCTCATTTCTCTGAAACATGGGCTGCATATCCCTTGTAACAAGAACATCGTGATGAATCAAGCTTTGTCTATATATATCTATATTCTGATCAGGCCCTTGGTCTATGTTTTCATCTACTGACTGTCTGCTCTGACTGCTACATGTATCATCCACAATAAAGGAATCCATATTCGATGAGGCCCCTTCTTCTTCGCTATCGTCCGTAGTGTGACCTCCATCACTACTTCTTTCAGCTTCATCGTCAATAAAAGGATTTCCTATTCGTTCTTCTTCCGTATATTTGTGCTTATGTGACATCGTACTGGTTGCCTTTAGTCTCTGTAGTAATGGTTCTTGTCGTGTAGTAGACATCGATACTTCATCTTCTTGAGAGGATTCTGGAATAGTCAACTTTTGCTTCTTTGTTACAGCATTAGGCTCATCTATACTATCTTCACGGATTATGCGCTTTCTTCTTCGATAAACAATCAAAGGTGATTCTTCATCAGCGGATTTTATTGTGTTTCTTAATGGTGATTCAATGTTTGCATTAGATGGCTGAACGTGATTGCGAAGTGGTGACCGACATTGGCCCGTGGATAATTGCATCAAGAGAGACGAACTGCTTTGTCTCGAATGACACGACCCCTCATTATCGTCGTCGCCATCATTAACTGGCAAAGGAGGCTCTTGGGGCCGTCTTATAGATTCGAATGGTGAACTATCGAGTGTTTCTTCAGGATGTGTGGTAGATGCAACTTCGCAGCTGGACTGAGAAATATCTTGTGCCATGTTTTCAAAATCAAACGTGATCACTTCGTCATCATCTTCTACTACCGAATGATCTATAGATACTGGTTTTGCTTTATGCTCAATACCATCAGCTACTTTGGTTCTCTCTTGATCATCTCCTTTGATAGTATCATTGTTACTGTAATAAAGAAGAGCCTTTGATTTCTGAGAATTCATCTTTCTTGCCTCGGCTGTTGAAACGGCATCAAAATGATGAAGGGCTGGCAGTTCATCATCAATCCTGTTTTCGATCAGACTTGCAATATGCATCTCATCCAAATCACTAAACAAGCCAAAATCAAATTCATCTACTACATCGTCTTCCTCTCTTTCATCAAGACACACTGGATTATTTTCATTTCCTTCGGCAGCTGTATTCGCCTGTGGCTTTCTATCTGCCATGTCTTTGTCTGGCATCGCCATCAGTAGCTCAACATTGACTTCGTCATCATCATCAAAGGAGGGTGTTTGTGATGGGATATTATTTACTGATACTGATGTACGGATATTGCTCATAGAGTTGCTATACTCTGACAGAGCTCTCATTGCTACAAATCTTCCTGTGATCTCCTTTATATTGATCTGTCTTTCCTTTAATAGCTGCAACGCTCTTGTGGTAAAGTCTGGAACTGTTGAAGTCCAAATAAATGCTGTAGTAGTAGCTGTTACTCCATGGTCAGACAGATCATTTTCAAAAGGAAACCGTGGCGCAAGATATTCATCAAAATATCCATCATAGTTTACACTATTCACTTGTTCCACTACTTGTTCAGTGTACTGTATCACCGATTGTTCTTGTTTAGGTGCCACTTGCTTTTGTTTAGCGAATAGCTGCGGTACCTCTGCCAAGAGCTCAATATCATCGTCAAGGTCAATGTCGCCAAACTCAATATGGCTGGACTCCTTATATGCTCTGTTGTTATTGTTCATAACCATAATCTCGGCTTCTTTACTTTTCTGAGGCCTCCCGTTATTTTCTTTATCAATAACTCCGGATTTGGAAGATTGGCCTTGCTTTGGTAACTGTGTCTGAAGTAAAGGATCCTCGTAGACGCTTGAAGGCAAGATGGATTCCCATGAATGGCCACTTGTGATATCACCACCCTCAGTAACTTCGTTCTCTTGCTCGGCTGCTTTTGATTTACTCTTGTTGTCTTGATGACCCAGTCTGTCAAAAGACTCATCTAACGAATGATCAAGCCCCATTCGCTTTTTAGGAAGAATCAAGCCTGACTGATGATTGTCTTCTGTATGAATGAAATGGGATATATCATTGTTTTCTATAAACTCTTGAAAGTCATCGTCGTTGATGGTAAATGAGTCATGTGGTTGCTTCTTCTTCTTTACTGATTTTTTAGGTAAAATCAACTTGGTTTGTCTTTTCTCAGGTGCTTTGAATGGCACATTCTGGCCTGGGTTCAATATACGGTGCTCCATCCGCTGTACAAGCTTAATAAATTCAGTTGTTCGTCGAGAGTGACCGATGCGTCGATACCCCTTTTCCTGAATCTGCAAGGGTACATACCTGTTGAGTGATTTAGTCATGCTCTGGATAGGCCAGTACCGAGAAAATATGTCATCAATTTCAGTGAACCGATGACTTGCCGTGGAAAAGGAATTCAGGAGAACTGTTTTGCCCATCTCTGTCAGTTTACCTTCAGCTGAAATGATCGATCTATCTCGACCATCTTGGCGTTTTCTTTTTGTGCCAGTCAGTTTGGGCTGGTAGGCACCAATGTTGAGGACCTGCTTGCTGATCACAGGCCTGTAGCCGGCTGGTATCACGATTGGGTTAGGTCTATGATAGGTGATCATGCCGGGCTGGGCGATGAGTCGCTGTATCTTGGAATAGGCATCCTTTGCCTGAGCAAACTTCTTTTCTTCTGATTCCGTCATGAGCAAAATACATTTACCCCGTCTCTGACGACCTGTTCTACCCATTCGTTGTAACTAAAAAAAAAAAGAATAAATAATACTATTTATCATATTTGATAAACTAACGAACCATTCGAATAGGGGATGTTTGTGAATCATAACAGATAATCAAATCTACTTCACCAATATCCAAACCTTCTTCGCCAATACTGGTAGACACAATCACATTATAGTTGTTTGATTTGAATTTTTGAATAATCTAATTCATATGGACTTAGTAATTGCTATCAACTCCCCCCATACCACAGTACCTCTTGCTGTTCAGCCTGTCGAAGACCTTTACCCTTCTTTCCTGTCGCTTGACCCACGAAATAGGTTGCTCGAATCATGGGTTGATGTCTTTCAAGCACCCGGCAAATATCCATGACCGAGCTACGAAAGCTTGAAAAAATCATCACCTTAGACGCTTGACCGTTCTCGAGGTTACCAAAATGAGACAATAAGATAGACAAGAGCTTTTCCATCTTGGGATGACCAATGAAATCAGGCCGTTGCATCTTTTGGTTCAATTCTTGCAACATACTTTTAACCACTGCATTATTGTAAAGGTTTTTCTGAGGAAAGGTCATGTTCTTGCCCGACTTAACCTTCTCTTCCAGTTCTTCCAATGTATTTTCCAAACTTTCTACAAAGGGAGCAACACCGTGCTGACAGAGAAGTTCGTAAGCGCGACTTACAGATTCTGTTACTAGAAAGGTAGACACGATCTGGAAGACGAGGTGTCTGTTCAAGTTGGAAGATGTTGTCGTGAAATAAGTGCGAGAGCTTCTTAATCTGAACGGGCTCCATTGGTCAGGATCTGGTGTAACATTTGTAGGTTTTTTAGAGAGATCGAGCAGTAGGGGTTTAAAGACGTTATCTCTAAACCGAGCGATAAGAGCAGGTAAATCACCGCTAGCACCTTCTGTATAGTCCAAACGAACAATGACATTCTGAATATTTTTGCCATGCGAGAACTCTCGAATGTCCATGGACTCCTCTGTTCGAATCTGTACGTTGGTAATACGAAGGTTTCTGATCACATCCTGAACTGCGTCCAGGTTTGAACCCGGTGTGGCTGTCAATGCGAGCACTCTGAAATGCTCATTCTTTTTGGCAATTCGTCGTACCACTTCAGAGTAAGCGTAGTTACCGGTTGCCTTGTGGGCTTCATCAACAACAACACATACCACCTGTTCAGCAGGACACGTATTGGAAATGATGTCCTTTTGTACTGTCTGAGGTGTCGCGAAAAATACACGCTTTTTTTTCCACAAGTCGCGGCGCGCAGCAGGCGATGTGCTTCCTGTCAAGTCACATGTATCCGATTGAGGCAGACCACAGATATAAAAACAGGCTTCGATCTGCTGATCCACCAGTGGTCGAGTAGGTGCCATAAAGATGATTTTGGAGTTTGGAAACCAACGCCAATAGTTAAACATGACGACAGCAGCAATAAATGTTTTACCTAAACCGGTGGGTAATGCAACAAGCGTATTATTAAACAGGGCTTTTTGGACAATATTCAACTGATATCCTCGCACTGGATAGTTGATAGGATATATCCATGTACACAAATTATTGACATCCAAAGGGTGAAAGGAAGGAGTGTCCTCAGGTAAAGGTGTAGGTGGAATTGGATCGTCTTCGTTTGAGACAAAGCTTATCTGACCGTTACGTGCACCATGTTCTTGTTCTACAGTCTCTGCTGCAGCAACAAGCTCTTCCATGTCAATATCATCTTCTAGGTCATCAAAATCTAGATCGTCTTGTAGATCTGCCATCCTGGGCTGCGGTAAGAAAAAAATAAAAAGAATGAAAGAGAGTCTCTTTTTTCTTTGCAAACAAAAAA